CTTTGGCTTGGCCGCTCAGCCCCGCTGCCGAGCTCCGTTCTCGCCCCTGGGCACGGCCTCTTCTGCTTTAACGTCCTCAGAGGGATGACGGCCGCAGCGAGAGCCTCTCTGCGACACGAACTTCCATCCACCACCATCACCGCGGCTGCTGGCACGTAAATATTTCTCGTTACCTCTTAGAGGTGTTTTTTCTGGCTTTGCAAAAAGCTCTTGCCTAGCTGGTACCTGGCAATCGCCTCATGTCATGAACCTTCCTTCCCGCGAGGCAGGCGTGCCAAAGCCCATCCTATCCCCCTGCCGTAGGTCAGCTTAGTTAAGTCCAGCTCTCAGTTTACCAACCGTGCCTTCCCCCGCGCTTCAGGGCTGAGCTAGCAAACATGAGCCGAGCTTAAAATACATTCCTTCACTAAATCCAAGCCCCGAGGGCTTTATCTATAATAAATAGGTATCGAGGTCTAACAAAGCTGCGTTTCCATCTTGCCAGGAACCTGCTCGTGGTTTATCTCTTAGTACTGGATGTGAATTATTTTTTTTTTATTGCAATTTGCAGAGAAAGCTGCGTGGGCAGGGGGACGCGCTGGGTATTGGGAGAAAAGTGGAGCAGAAAGAAGAACTAATAGCAACCGCAGGCAAAGGGAAGTTCTTGTTTTCAAAAGGACAAGCTGTGGTGTTCTTGAAGGGCCTGCGAGCTTTGGCTGATTTTCCTCTTGCTCACCCGGCGAGGTTGAGCCGCTCCTCCCCAGCAGAAACACGCACGTGTGTGTGGGAAGGAGCCCGCGGCGCCAGGCTGTGGGTGCCACCGCTCTCCCTGCCCGCCCACGGCATCTCTCCTGCCCGGGACGCAGCTTTTCCCAAACCGCCGCTGCCGTCCCTGTGTGGGACCCCGGACAGGGATAAATTCATCAGCATTGGGGATAAAGTCATCAAGTTTGGGACAAACTCATCAACAAGAGAGAGGAGGACTGGAAAGCAGATGGAGCAGAGAGGCAGCATCTTCCCCCTGGGTATCTGCCTCTGCAGCTAACCGGAAAGCGATGGAGCAACTTCCCAAAAATTCCACGTGCGGTTCACATGCGGGTGAGGCAAAAACTGAGAAGTCAGAGAAATGGGGACTATTAAGAAAGAGGCAGGAGCTGCCAGATGAACCGGCAGAATAAACCCAAAGGAGGCACGTGGGGCAAGGACTTGTTTTATAGGCGCGTGAGCCGTGCTAATTAAAATAGGACCGAGTGGACCGACACGCTTTGGTTACGCCGCTCCTTCCCTTCCTCCTCCTGAGCCGGGTCCAGTCCCTGCCACGTCTTGCACAAGAGCTCAGTGGTGGAGCTGCGGGGCGCACAGAGGCGACGGGGGCTTTTTTCCCCGCCGGGTCGGTCCCCTCGGTTCCCTCCCCGCAGCCCCCCCAGGCTCTTCCCACCTCTGCCGGTACCGGGGAAGCCCCGGACCACCCTTGAGACAGCGGGTACGGCAGAAGCGCGGGGGTAAGAGCAGCGAAGAGCGACCTTTTGAGGTATCAAATAATTCCCTGTTTATCCCGATAGCATCATTGGTATCAAAGAGGCACGAGGTCTCTCAGCAGCAGCCTCTGCCACCTGGCTGGGCTTAGTGTCCTAGCAGCACATGTCACCCGCTGGTTCAGGTCTTCTTCTCCCAAAGCCACCAGGATGGAGGGGACAGTTCGCCCGGCCTTCAGGCCAGCTTTCCCGTCTGCATCATCCTCTTCTCGTTCCCGGGCAGGTCCCTTCGTCAGCTCTCC